GGTATCTTTCCATTCTTGCAAGGGTTGGCCCATATACGACTGGCATATCATCATCCCAAGCCTGCTTCTTTAATGGTTCTAAATATAGAGAGGCCTGCAAGAAGAGCCAAGTCAGGATGACCTAAAGCAGGATGCCTGACCTTTGATTTTGAACTTGGGGCTCCTTCCCAAAAAAGTTAAGAAAAGCTAGCTTGGAAGTTAAATTCGGTTTATGGTTTTGTAATGACAATTAAACTAATGGGGAGGAGGGAGTAATAATTAAAAATGAACATCTTTTAAATCAGGAATTTGCCTTAGCAAATTCCACAGCTCCTAATAGACTTTTACACAGGTTCCCTGAGCGTCCTGGCAGTGTTCCTTCCCTGCCTCCCTTAGGCACTGCTATCAATGTCTCAGTGCAGCATATTTTGCCTATTAACTTCTTAATCATGGTCTATTAAAAGGGAGGTGTGTGTGTGTGTGTGTGTGTGTGTGTGTAATAACGTAGGATACATCAAAATAATTCGTGGCAACTTTGAGGGGATTTAAAGGCAATACCTAAGACCTCATAACGCTACAGGCTGTTGTTACATGGGCCATGCTACTATAGGGGAAATGAGAAAGTACAACACAAGATGCTTAACCATACTGTGCAAAATTTTGTCACATTTTGAAGATTTCTAAAAGCATATTGACTAATAACATGTTTTCTTTTCCACTGTGCAGTTGGAATGGTTAATGATGGGTAATATTCATTTAGAGCGTCATATAGTACAAGGGACAACTTGGCAAAAAAAAAAGATTCAACAATACCCTCCATTCAGAGATAAATTTGGTGCTGAAAGCGAAGATTGCTGCACCTCTCTTCCCGAAACCTTGACAGCAGATCATTGAATCTGGTGACAATAAAAACTTTTCTGTGAAGCAAAGTTAAGCTTATTCTATTAACTATGGTATTATCACTGGGAGTTGGACAGCGTATAAATAATAATGTAGGTAGATCTCGCTTAACGATTGCCCTGTTTAATAACAGAAATTACGATAGTGCTGAAAAAGTAACTGACCATTGCAGTATCTCTGCAGTCTAGCAGGCATTTATGGCTTGCTGCATTCTACGGTCATGTGTCCACCATTTGCACACTTCACAACTGGCTTCCAACAACAGGGTCAATGGAGAAGCCAGCAGTAAAACTGCAAGTCACAATCATGAAATTTTGCTTAACAGCTTATTGACCAAATAGAAAGTGACATCGTAAGTCCATCATAGTCATGTGATGTTTCACTTAGCAACCATGTCAATTAATTACTAGAAAGCAAAGGAATTTTTCTCCTGAACTGCTTACACCATTTCCACCACCACCACCCCCATTTTTATCCCCCCACCTTTTTATTACAACAGGACTTTAAATCCTTTTTTGAGTTATGAAGTTTATCTTGAAGTTCTTTTAAATGCTGTTCTATGTAAGTAATTTATCCCTTCTGTAATTATCTGAATAGTTGCAGCCTTAGTTTTTAAGGAGTTTTGGATTAAGATGATCAGATCGTGATTCATAGTTTAAGAATCCATGATTACATTCTGAATTACATAAGAATTGTTTAAGGAATCCTATGTAAGGAAACTGGGAAAAATGGCAAGGTGACAAAAGTCTACTAATGTTTGCCTTTCGTTCTTTTCCCCTCAGTGCGGCTACCATATACACTGCAATATATCTCAAAAAGAGAAGGAAGCTGTTGACAATCATACAGACCTGGAAAGCCATCCTGATTATGTATTCAATATCCTCCTTATTACAGCTGGCTAGATTTTCAGAGACTGGACTGATTTAATGTGCTCTCCCTGAGATTAAGCTAGGTTTTACCATATGAATGTGAGTTCAGCAGTTATATAAATTGAATAAAAATACACTAATCCATAATTAACTGAAGCATAGTTTGTTTAATAAATTTAATAGTCTTCCTTCCTTCCTTCCTTCCTTCTTTTTCTGGATGTTTGTGCTCTACTTCCTTTTTCAATCAGGCTTTTCCATTTCCTGAAGGAAGTATCCTTAAATTTTATTGCTTCCTGAACAATACTAAAAAGCTCTGCTGACCCCTTTTTACATTGTGGAAGCCATTATATTTATTTCTTAACTAAATCAACTGTAGTATATAGATAAAATCACAGAAGAATGGGGAGTTGAGGACTCTAGTTGATTTGGGAATCATCTATCTCAGGGGTGTCAAACTGGATTTGAGGGCCAGATCAGCATTGTAGTTCTCTGGGGATGGGAATGGATGCCTCTTGCAGGACCCTGCTGGCCAAAATGGGGGTCTACACACACACACCCTTGCACCTCGTTTTTATCCTCCATGGCCTCCTACAGCACGCTGCCAGCCGTTTTGGGGCCGTTTTCTGGCCCATTTTCAGCCATTTTCAGGGTGTTTTTTGGGCCGATTTCAGGCTGTTTGTCAATCCATTTTCAGCCCATTTTTGACTCATTTTCAGGCTTGTTTTTGGGCCCTTTTAAGGCCATTTTTGGGGCCATTTTCTCTTGGCAGGGTGCTGCAGGAGGCCATGGAAGGTGAAAACAAGGCATGGGGGGGGGCACACACAGCCCATTTTAGCCACCAGAGGCACCATGGGGTGGTCCTTTGATACTTCCAGTCCGGCCCCATGGGCCAGATTTAAGCACCCCATGGGTTGGATCCGGCCTGCGGGCCTTGAGTTTGACACCCCTGATTTATCTCCATTGAAAGATCCTAAGTACAATTTTTATCCTCTCTTGAACTAAGAGATTTCCCCTCTCAGGAAGGAAGGGAGGGAGGCAGGGAGGGATGGAGGGAATATAATAATAATAATATTTAAACTCTTTTTAGTGATTGTGAACACAAATGGAAAGACAGGAATTACTAAAAAGTTTTCTTACACTTTTTAAAAAGTTACAGTAGTTATTCCTTTGTTCCATCTGATTCTTACCTTCTTTTGCATTCTGTCATTTAAAAAAATCAAAAATAATTGCAATATTAATTATATGTACAATAATACGTATTATAAAGCATATTATTCCTATAGTTTTACACATGTGGGAAATAAAAAAAACTAAATAAATGAAGCGGAAAACCAATGTGAGTTGCCTGGGCCAATAAATAAAAAAGCAGTGAAAGATATCCTCAGGGAACATGCATGCATTGCAAGGAACTGAATCTTTCCCATGTATCTTTACTACCAAACTGGGGTAGATACCTGGCCTAGATTGACTTTCTCAGGAAGCAAATTAGAGCAATGAAAGCAAATGCTATATAGGCAACAAGAGAAGTTTATCTTAGTGCATCTTGAGAGCCTGTACTAAGAAATCACTGGGTTCTAATGGCATCAACCCAAGAGTTCTTTAATAAGTTAAAACAGGAAAGTGCTGGCCTCCCCACAAAAATTTACAACTTGTCATTTAATCAGGATCAATGTCAGAGGACTGGACACCACTGTTTAGCAGACACTCTGAGGAGATTCAGAAAATTATAGGCCAGTCCACTTAATATCTTTCCCACCTATGATAAATGGGGTAAGGCTGCTTGGTAAAATAGTTCAGAATGTCTTTATGTTGTGAAATGAATGCACATCACCTCACTGGCATCACCATACTACCATTTTCATGTCACAAACGTGGCCATTCCCAGAATTGCCTTCTCCCACTGTGCAATGAAGAAAGCCAGTGAGACTGGCTACTTGGTCATTTAACTAAGGCAACTGGATATATTTAGAATACTAACATTTATGCAACCTTGCCAAAAAATACCCACAGACCCGCCTAGCTCTGCAGTTGGCCTTTCAGTAGAAGTGTTTGGAAAACCCAAGTATTGCCAACTAGCTGATAAATCCCAGACAAAGATGGGGAGCGAGCAGTCCTGATAGGATCTGGGCATCTCCTCCTGCTGCCCCATTTTCCATCCACCTTGTCTGTATGACTTGTCAGCTAGACTTATTTCTGGACACAAGTCCAGCTCTTATTCCCAAAGCCTTTTTAGCCTGGGGGAGTTTAGAAGCAAAGTTTCCAAATGCCCAAATAGCAGTTCCTTTTCTCTCTGGAAAGAAGAGAGATCCACACCACAAAAATTGTGTTACACCGGGAGATTAGAACAGATGACGTCCACGTTCATCAGCAAAAAACACAATAGCCTCTATATTTAGATCCAAGCCTCTGTGCGATACTTATAGGCTTTCAATATATATATATATTGACATGCGGCGCTCAGCTGCCCTGCTGTAACCGAAACGAGCGAGATCGATTTCGATCGGGGGCGCGCACCGTGAACGCAGAGATTTAGGGACCCGCGGATTATTTTTTTTATTTGATTTTAAATTTCCCTTTTGAAATCCAAGTCTCCGCTTGCCGTCGACCGCGTTTGACACCAGTTCAGCAAAGGTACGAAGCTTGGCCGATAGTCTCCAATAGCCGTGAAGGAAAAGCAGATAAAGTGCAAAACAAAAAACAAACAAAAAAAACCCCGGGATTTAATGTGAAGTAAATGTTAAACATCGGGATGATTCGCTTGAAGGCTGTGGCCAGAATTTTAAGGGAGCCTGCGACGCGACTGCACTTTCCCCTGAATGGAGTAAGCCTCGCCAGTTGTAGGCAGATCGGCGGCCCCCTGAACGTGGAGCTTCTCTTCGTCTGTTCCATAAACTCCCATTATTGCGGAAAGCCAAAATACCACGCATACCTCTCCAGCCAGGAGTTCCAGTTCTACAATTACATCATGGTAGACCCCTCCTCCGAACTTCCTACTGGCTCCTAAGAGAAAACGACAGAAGAGGCGACCAATAAGAGGGGCAATAAATAAAGCCAACGAGACAGCTGAGAGAGCGCATGAACGGATCACTTTCCCGAGGAGTCCCGCCCCTCCGATTTGGGCAACCAATAGCAGTCGCCAGAGGCAGTACCAATCGGGGTTCCAGCTCCTGGAGTGGAGGACGCTGAGAATAGGCAGGGCTTGTGAGGGCTGCTAGCCATTCCATTGGTGGCGCGGTGAGGTGGAGGGCGAAGAAAGGAGGGAGGAGGGAGGCGCTCGGCCTCCGGCGCTTCCTCGGCTCCCGTTAGCAGACGGCGCTTAAGCTCGGGCTTGCGAAGGCAGCGGTTCTGCGGCTGTGCGATGTCGGAATTGCGAGCAGCAGGACCCGGCCCAGGGATGACGCCTGGCGGACCAGTGGGCCCCATAACCACCGGCCCAGGAGGAACCTGCGGACCTGGCCCCGTGACCCCATTGCCATCGCCGGGGCCAAGTGCCGGAAAAGGTGACGCCGGAGGAGGGACACTGGGCCCTGGGGGACCGGCCCCAGGGGGGGTGACGAGCACTCCAGGGGGGAGCTCTTCTTCCGCTTCCGGGTCAACGAGCTCAACTTCCGGGGCTGCTCGGGAAGGCTGGCTTTTCAAATGGACCAATTACATCAAAGGGTATCAGCGGCGATGGTTCGTGCTGAGCAATGGGCTTCTCAGCTATTACAGGTGAGGCCGAGTCCTCTTCCGCCCGCACGGACCGGTTCTGTCCTTCCCTCGTAAGGGCCGCCCGAGCCTTGCTCCCCTCTTGCCGTTCGGCCGCCTCCGCCGGGCTGCCCCTTTCCCCTCAGCTTCCGCCCCACCGGCAGGCTCGCCCGCGCCCTGCGTTTTCCTGCCACGTGGCACGAGGGTATCCAGGACCAGCCGCGGCACGAGTAGCGTCCGGGGCGGAGCAGGAATGGTGGGGTGGGGGCAGCTGTACTCTTCCAGCCGCCAGTGGGAGGCCAAAACCTGCCACCAAACCACCTCTCTCTGTCCGACACTAACTAGTTGGGGCTGCTGGTAGTTGGGAGTCCAGTGGCTTCTTGGAAGTCACGGGGGTCCCACTCTTTCGTTTAGCCAGACGCCCAAATCCCACCCAGTCTGGCCAGTGTTTGGAAGAGCCGCCCTTTCTACGCGTTAAGAGGTGGCTGTGGGGTTTTGTATTCCCCCTCTTTCCTCTATGTTCCTTCCACCGATTTACAGCACCTTCAGCTCATCAGTGTTTTGAGAGATCGGTCCTCTTGTTTTTAAGTTAAATTAAGCACGTTGGATATTATTTACTGCTGCTGATGTTAAAGCCATTAAAGAATAGGAAAAGTTAACTCATATTTAGTGGCCACTATAAGCCAGTTGCAAATTGCAAGCTCTACACAGCTATGGACTAGACTAGGGGTCCCCAAACTTGGCAACTTTTAAGACTTGTGGACTTCAACTCCCAGAATTCTCCAGCCAGCAGCTTTGTGCTTCTCAGAGTAAGGTGAGCTTGCAGCTGCTGCTTCTCACATTACTCTGAAAAGCACAAAGCTGAAGATGATGAATGAGACTTCATCAAAACGTGGCCTAGATACTTCCAATTTTATGTGGGAGAAAACCCGAATAACCAAAGATCCACATACAAATACCCACGAGAACCTAAGAAGATAGATAGATAGATAGATAGATAGATAGATAGATAGATAGATAGA